CTTCCCAAATAGGCTGAGATGCTCAAAGACTAACGGAGGTTAACTAGGGTAGATGTTCCTATTCCACAGTTAATAAAAATAGAGTGGAATTATGCAAGCATGTAGATAAGCTAATCATCTGACCTAATCAGCAATGCAGATTTTAAAAAGTCTTTCTAATTACTTCCTCAGCTTGGCTGAAGGTATGGGTATAAAGAATTTCCCAGCATGGTGGTAGCAGATGTATTTCATAATATTTATTGAAAATATTGGAAAGAAATCCTTAATTATAATGCTCCTGAAAAGTACATCAAAAAGAATATCATATTTAACATATTTTATAAGTTCATTAAGATACAAACATAACATAATTTAGAAGATCACTTAACAACTTTCACATGAGTTATTTGGAATTATTCATACAGTTAGACTTTAATTTTTTGAGCCAGATTACTTATTGGTTAACTGCCTATGTCTTTTTTATGAGAGCTCTCATTGTTTTCAACGAAGTGGGACTTCTAGAATCTTCTTTTTTCTTTGCCTCTTTGCTAATTCGATATCTTGGCAAAGGTATTTTAGTGCATGATGTTTCAACAACTTTAAATGTTAAATTGTTGACATTTGTGTGTGTGTGTGTGTGTAACACCACCCAGTATGTGATTTGGAAGCCTCTGATAATCATTTGGAAGATCCGATATTCATTTTCTTGGCTGGCTTTGAATATTTACGAACGGCTGCTAAATGAATCATTCTAGAACATCATTGCTCAAAATGAAACTCTTTATGAATTCCTGGTTAAAGTGCCTGTTTGTCATCCCTGAATTTGGGCTACTTAAGTGCTGGTTGATCATCTTTATCTTTCATTCTGTAAGTTGCTCAATATCTTTCTAGGAATTTCCTTTGAAAATTTTTTTCTGTTTGTTAAAAATAACATGTACTAATTGTACATATTTGTATGCAATGTAATTTTTCATTTTATGACTATAATGTGTAATGTTTAAGTAAGAGTAATCAGTATACCTGTAATCTCAACCATTTGTCATTACTTAGTGTTGGGAATATTCAGAATCATGTTTATGTACTCTGAGATATACAGTGTGTTGTTAACGATATTCACTCTATCTCATAACATTAGATGTTGTTCCTCTTATCAATCTTTAATTATATTTCCTTTTTTTCTTCTTCTTCTCCTCATTTTTTCTTCTTTTTTCTTTCTTCTTTTATTTGTTAGAGGGTGCATACACTCAACAGTGAGAGAGAAAGGGAAAGTATAAAAGCATCCCTCTGGGGAATTGCAATAGTGAAATCCATTCTTCTGTATCTCTCCTTTTAAGAGTTTTGGGCCTACATCCACATGTGCCTGGCATGTTTTTCTATTCTTTTTTAAAGACTTATTTTATTTAAATATTTAAATTATTTTATTTAAATATTTATTTTAATTTGACCAGAGAGGAATAGAGCAAGGGTGGGGGTACGAAAGCAAGTCACCAGGTCTGGACCTTGAACTACAGTTGGCCATGTTGGAGTCTAGCACCCTTAACCACCATACCGTCTGTTGGCCCTGCCCAACATGTTTTTCAAGACACAGAGTCCAGGACTCAGCCATACAGTAGACAGTATAGGATTCGTTGCCTTAACCACCACACCACTAGGTGGTCCAATTTTTGTTTCCATTCACCAACATTCCTCTATCTCCAGTCCCACCCACACTATCTGCAGCCTCTTGTTGTCATTCTTTATCTTCCTACTTCTGTGAGATTACTATTTTTAAATTTCCAAATATGAGGGAGAACAGATGATGTTTAACTTTCTGTTCCTGCCTGTTTTATTTAACATCATATCCTGCAATCTTGCCCATTTAACCTCAATTGATACAGTTTCATCCTTTGTAATAGCTGGAGAGTATTACATTATGTGTGTGCATACATGCATGTGTGTATGTGTGTGTACCACATTTGTTAACCCATTCTTCTGTTGATAGACACTTAGGTAGATCCCATATCATGGTTATCCCAGTATACCTTTTAATATAAGTTACCTTGAACTAGTTTCTGTTGTCTACAACCAAAATAAATCTTACATGATTTGGTATCGTTAGTGCCATTAGAGTGTCTAAATAGTTAAATTCTCTGTTATCAAATGGTGTTGGGAATGGTTGCTTTGCCTTACAGATTATCTCCAGAATCCTTTTTCTAGGAAATCTTCTCTAGATATTAGGTGGAAGTGGGACCAGCAAGTGGCATGGTGGTTAAGGATGCTGGACTCCCACATGGCCAACCGTGGTTCAAGTCTTGGACCTGGTGGCTTGATTTCTCACTTTCTCTCTCTCGCTCTGTCCCTCTCTGGTCAAATTAAAATAAATTAAATAAATAAATGAAGTTAAATAAATAAAAAAAAAAGATTAGATGGAAATAAACAAGTCTTTTGTCCCATGGTGTGTGGTACAACATCCAGAAGCTCTTAATGACTGGTTCTGCATAATTCCTGTCATTTGGCAAAGTAAATTTTGTGTTTGAGAAAGTTGTAAGTGTAAAGTCACATGACAGTGAATATTGTTAATTGAGAACAAGGTCAGAAGGTATGAATGATCCAACATATGAGTTAGTTTATTAGTGTCTTTAAAATTTGAACAAAGATATATAATTCAGAGTCATAGGATATAACACTTTTATGTGTCCAAGCTCTTAAATCTCTTGATCTGTCTCAATCTGGGTACTACTAACCAGTAAATTCTTTGTCAGGGGACTCTGAAATCCTGTGTGTTGTAGACTATTCAGCAGTGAAATAGCAAGGTGCCCGACCCGAGACTCACACTGTGGTCAGGCATGTGGGAGTCCTGTGTCTGAAACACCATACCACCTACTGGCCCCCCCAGCACCCATGATTTTAAGTGAGTTTTGCTTCCCTTGGCAGTTCTGGTTTGAGAAATCTTATGTAAAGTATTGAGTCATCAGAAAAGTCATGACATGTTTTTCTATGCAAAGACATATCATGACTTTTTCAATAACCCATTATGTTTGATGTGCAAATGCCAGGACCCCCTTGGCAGAACCTGTTTTTCTGGGGGGGGGGCAGGAGCTGTGGATTAGAAATAAGCATAACAATAAACACAAAGGGACCAGCAGTTGGTGTAATGGCTATGTCACTAGACTCCCATGTAGTCAACCTTGGTTCGAGTCCCGGACCCAGTGGCTTAAACTCACGCTGGGTGCATGCACATGTGTGCGTGCCCAAGATCCCGAGAGGAGAATAGAGGAAAAGGGATTGCGGCGTAGGGGGGGGGGGTGATTTCTTGCTTTCTTGCTTTCCGTTTCTCTGTCTCTTTGTAGCAAGCACACGTGCCCTATAGGGAAAAAAAAAACAAAACTCTTCAAATAAGTTAATTAATTAATTTAAAAAAATAAACACACAAAGACAAGTATTGAAAAGTGAGGATTGGTGGGTCCAACTTCTCTGATGGAGAAAGCTGCGACCTTGAACCACCCTCAGGTTTATTATTTTATTGGGCAGAAAATGGGGAAGGATGAAATAGAATGCAAAGCCAGTTGTTTTCAGATATTAATCAGCTGATGATAGGAAACCAATTGGCTTCATGTGGTTTCTTCTGATCTTTTCCGGTAAAATCTGAATAACACGTGTGGTTTCCTTACAGATACTGCTTTGCAGTATTGGTAGCTAGCATATTCACATGTAAATTCTTTTATTTCTATGCAAATGAAGCTCCCAGAACCCCATTTCTGCATATTTCTGAGGGTCACCATATTTGTTGAGAATGGCCTCTCTCCACATGCAACAGTTTGGCTGGAGTGGGGTAGGGCTGAATCATATCCTTTAACCATGCACTCATATAGCCAGTGTAGTATTGGGTTGTCATAAAAGACATGATGCATTGAAGAGAGGGCTGATGGAAATGAGCAGAGACTGCTAATGCTATCATAGAGAAAAGGAAGTAGAAATAAAATCTCATTTTTAAAAATATGTGTCAACAAACGACATGTTGACACTGGTCCTCTCATTTGAAAGGATCCAATTGTCCTGGTCAACAAGGATCACATTAGGCTATTTCTTGCTTTAGCAAGTTAATGGTGGGAGGGGTATCATGTCTGGAAATGCTTTCTTGAGAAATGAAGTCAGGGGTCCAGCAGGTGGCATGGAAGTTACAGCACTGGATCCCATATGGCCACTACCCAGTTTGAGTCCGGTACCCAGTATTTTAAAAATCACACCAGATACATTTGCGTCTGAGAAGATTAGAGGACAAAGGTGTGCAGTATGGCCATCGCCCTGGGGGGTGGGTGGGTGGTGATTTTTCACTTTCTTTTTCTATATATGTCTCTCTCTGTCAAGTGCACACACCTAATCTCACACCTTTAAAAAAAAAGTGAGGTCAGAATGAAGATGAAGAGCACTTTCTAGCATGTATAAACAGATATTCAAAATACTGCCACCTCTGTCATTTTTATGCACTCACATCTGTACTTACAGCAATAATGAATTATAACAGTTCGCCAAAGAACAAAAACTATCTACTACCTTATTTCGGTACTGTCAACCTTGTTCTACTTTAGACTTAATTATGAAAGCTGTAAGCAAGTAATATCTCCTCTTCCTCATGCTGTCTACCTTCCAGGGAAGGTGCTAATGAGCAGTGAAATGGTCAGAACTCTGGCAGCAGAAACAAAGGAAAAGCCAGAGGGTTGAATAGTAGCTCATGAACTGCATAATCCAATTTTGACCACTCAGGAATTGGGAATCTGGTGGATTTTATAGTTTCTGTTCTATAATCATACCCTGAAACTGTTGAAAGCTGATGTAGGTTTTGTAAATCAGACAAATGGGGAAAAGAGTCAGTGAGAACTCTGTACACAAAATACGGAGCTTTTACTAATTCCTGCAATGTCTAGTTGAGTCCATTTACATGATATGCACGGAAGAGACGTTCTGTGCTTGATGTTGGTCCAGGAAAAGGTTAACTTTCTGCTCACTAATTTTAATTCATTATATATGCCTTTTTTCCCCAGCACAAATGGACCCCCGAGGCCTATCTCCCAGACAAAGTAAAAGTGACAGTGATGATGATGACCTGCCAAATGTGACCTTAGATAGCGTTAATGAAACTGGATCTACGGCCCTTTCCATAGCCAGAGCAGTACAAGAGTAAGTATCACATTCTCAGGATGAAATAAGAATTGCCAAGGTGTTCAATGGATAATGGGAACTGCAGCAGCTCCTGTTCCCTAGACATGTCATTCTAGCCCTGATCTGGCATGCGTGTCAGCATCTTTCCATTCAACCCTGTGCTCTTCCAGAGATTAGGACAAAGAATGGAGTGTTTTAAAAAGCTGGAAATTCATGTTTTGGTTAGATATAAGACCTCTGTGCATCTTTTCTAATGCCTTCTATACCCTTCTTCACTCTGAAAGAAAATATTGTTCTTTTTGAATGTCACTATCCAATTATTATCATCATTATTATTATCAATCATATGCAAAGTCAAGGGAAATAAAATATGGCAGCAAGTATCACTGTCTTGTTTTGATAGGAAATTTATAGAACAGCTTTTCTAAAGATTGAAATTTGGAAGGTAATATGCTAACCTTTCAAAGATTAGGAATCATTTCATTTTTAAAGGGATCTTTTGTCCTTTTATTGGGTTTATAGGATTAGGTTTCCTCTCCCGTTTATTGAAAAATGGCTGCTTTTCTGTCATTAACAACTCTGTCTAGAATTGAACCTATACTAGTACATGTATATTTTTTTCTCAAGAAAATTTTTTTCAAATCAAATTTAAAGAGTTAAAATTGACAAATACAGTTGAACGTTAAGTGTACAGTGTGCTGAATTGATAAACACAGTCATTACAAAATAATTACTACATGTTAACACATCCAGCACTTCACATAGTTTTTCTTTGGGTGTTTTTGTTTGTTTTTATTGGTGATAATGCCTAAGGTCTACTTTCTTATATGTAACATACAATATAGTATAGAAGTTACCATGCTGTATGCAAGATTGTCAGAGCTGATTCTTCTCAGAACCAACTGTGCCCTTTGACCTGCACTTCCTCATTCCCTTCCATGTCCACCATTGGCCACCACCCTTCTACTCCTTCTGTTGGTTCTGCTTTTTTAAGATTCTATCTACATATACCCTACAGTATTGGTCTTCTTGAATAATTTTTAATAACATAATTTTGAAAGGGGGAGAATTTTAGAGCTGCTGTTTTTGCTGACATACTTATTAATAATTCACCTAAAACTAACTTAGTTGTTGTCCATATTTTAATTTCTTTTTTCCCAAATAAGTACCTATTCTAGTCCATGCATTATATGTATTAGGCTTTGAAAATAATAAAAAATATTAAAAAGAGCATTTGTATGACATTTCAGAATTTATAGCATAAATGTATGTATACGTATATAAAATGAATAATGCATCTATGTTATGTAGACATTATGTACTTAATGTATGTGTGTGTACCCCACAATATAAATGGTATATTAGAGGAAACAGGCTATAATAGATCTAAAATGAAGTTGTAGAGTCTGAGAGATCTGGATTCAAATTCACATTCTTAATATGTGACTTCTGGCAAGTTATTTAACCACTGTCAGATAGATATGTCTTTATAGTTAAATCAGAATCCTTAAACCTATTGAGAGGGTTTGACACACATATAAAAAAAGTCACAAAGTTTGGGTACATAGAAAACTTCAGTTAATGTTAGAATTAGTATTATTATTAGTGGCAGTAATAATGTAGTTATGTAAGTTTTTAAGAACTAAGAAATACAAAGGCAGCAAGTGTTATTACCCTGATTTTACACACAAACATACTAAAGACCAGAGAACATAAATGACTTGTCTAAATCATGTAACAAATGGCAACAAGGCGAAGGTTAGGACTTCTAACTCCAAACACATCTTTTTCTAAGAGTGCCTATAGTCTGTTTCCAGTAATATTCTTGTATGTGAGCACTTATGAAAACACTTCTTTTCTCTCCTTTGTTTCAATAACTGATGGAAGTAACTTAGTCTCTCCAAAGCAAATGTTGACTTGAGCCAGGATGGGTATTGCATCCAGGGGATTGCATATTTAATGCTGCGCCACTGAGCAGCCTCATCCCTGACTCACAGTGATCAGCTGAGCTGTCCTGGTTTCACGTGAGCTACATCTTAGGTGGAAGAGTCCTTTCTCTTACCTGTTAAGTTAGACCAAATGACGACAAATTTCCAGTTTGAAATGAATAATAAGTTTTCAGACATTTCCTTTTGTATCATTATGTGGCTACTTTCCTGTATCATTAATAATGCATATAAAGTTTGTGTTATAGATTTGTGTGTATTTCTTCAGAGTCACACTTTAAAGTTTGGAACTTTCTTGACAAAAATCTAAATTACGAACTCCATTTGGGACTTATGGTGGGTAGGGAGCTGTCTTCAGAAAGTTCATGGAAGGACCAGCAGATGCCATAATGGTTTTGTTGCTGGACTCCCACGTAGTCTGGGAGTCCTGGACCTGGTAGCTTAAAACTCATGCCAGGTATGTGTGTGACCAAAGTCCTGAGAGGAGAATGGAAGAGAAGGGACTGTGGCATGGCCATCCCTCCAAGGGAGGATGATTTCTCATTTTCTGTCTCTCTAGTGAGTATATGCACCCAATAGCAGAAATCTGCCTCTAAAGAAAATAAAAAGTTCATGGAAAGTACATATCATAAAAAATCTATGCATAGATTTCAAAAAAATATTTTTGCTCCAAAGTAAACTCATACTTTAATTCTGTTTGTCCACACACTTTTTGAGGTGCCTCTACTTAACAAATAATGGTATAGTTTCTTACATATAACTACTTTTTATGATTTTATTATTATGTGCTTGTAATATGATAGTATATTTTAACGTGAAAGCATTTTAAAGCAGCCTCAAAAACAGAGCTTCGTTTTCAGCCTAACCTCTCTGACTTGGTTTGTTTACATATTTTTGAGCCATAATATTTCATGTAAGAGTGCATATGTCTGTCTTTATTACTGTTACAAAAGACATATGTGTGTCTTGGGAGATGCCAAATTCATTATTCATGTCAGTGTTTTCATTAAATGATTTGTAAAGAACACAGAGCTTTTACCTGGGAAGCCCTAGAACCCATCAATAGTTAATTAACCATCTTTTAAGACTATGTATGTGTGTGTAAACCTTGGGAAATGCTGAAATACTGTTAGATGAAGCAAAGAGAATATTGTACAGAGACTTCTTAAATATAGATATATATGTCAAAACTTAAAATAATGGGTTGTCGGAAAAGTCATGACATAGTTTTCTGTGTTTTTCTATGTAAACATACATCATGATACAGCCCAATATATTGAAGACAGTTTTATACTGAGACAAATAGATATAGAACTCCTGCTATAGAGGGACCAGCAGTTAGCGTAATGGCTATGTCACTGGACTCCCACATAGTCTACTGCGGTTCGTGTCCCAGACCCGGTGGCTTAAAACTCACACCAGGCGGGTGTGCACATGTGTCCAAGATCCTGAGAGGAGAATGGAGGAGAAGGGATTGTGGCGTGGCCATCCCTCCTGGGGGGTGATTTCTCGCTTTCTGTCTCTCTCTCTCTCTCTCTCTGTCTGACGAGCACACGTGCCCTATAGCAAAAAACCTCAAAAAAAAAGAAGAATTCCTGCTATAGAATTTTTTTTTTAAATTCTGTATATAGTTTTACCATTTGTAACTTTCAATGTGTACGGCTATGAACTTGTCTTTCTGGCCTTCTTTGGTTTCTCCTTAATTCTTTAATGCATATGATTATTTCACCATATCTTTCCTTTTTTCTTGTTTTTATTTGTCTCTTGATGCCTTTTGTTAACTTCAAAATTGTCAAAAACTAAATAAAACCAAATCCAACCCTAACATTCCAGTATAATATGATCAACAAACTCATATACTAAATAATACAGAAAGAATGAAACATACGTTTGGCATGTAAAAACTGAGATTTGAAAAAACATCTGTGGATCAGCAGATGGCATAATGGTTTCATCACTGGACTCACACATAGTCGACCGTGGTTTGAGTCGCAGATTAAGTGGCTTAAAACTCATGTCAGGCATATGTGCATGCATGCCCAAAATCCCAAGTGGAGCATGGAGGAGAAGGGATTGAGGCCTGGCCATCCACCCTTGGGGATAATTTCTCGCTTCTTGTATCTCTGTCTCCCCAGCAAGTGCACACACACCCTATAGCAAAAATCTCTCTAATAAAAGCTCTCATTAAAAAAATAAATAAAATAAAAAATAGACATCTGCCAATTTATACCCTGCACTTGCAAAACTTTTCTAAGAGTGTTAGGTTGGAGGCCAGCAGGTGTCATAGTGGTTAAGGTACTGGACTCCCTCATGGCCAACTGTAGTTCAAGTCCTGGACCTGTTGGGACTCCATGCATACCCAAAATTCCAAGAGGAGAATGGGGGAGAAAGGATTGTTGTGTAACCATTCCCCTGAGGCAGTAATTTTTCATTCTCTGTCTCTCTCTGTGTTTTCTGCAAGTACAGGCACCCCATAGCAAAAAAAAAAAAAAAAAAAAAAAAAAAAAAAAAAAAAAAAAAGAAAACTGTGTTAAAAATATGACTGCAGGAAGGGAGGTGGTAAAATCATAATTTTCTGTGTAGTAGATGGTAGCACATTTTAGAAACCCTGGGCAACTATTTCATGTTTGTCTTTCTAATTAGAGACAAAAGGAATCATAGTCAAAGGATTCAGAAGTTTACCTCTTGTTTCCTTGGCCACCTGTTTAGTGTCAGAGAAGGGAAAGGGAACTTGAGAAAGAAGCCTAATATTGAAGAAGATTGACACTAGAGAGGTGTGCCTTGTTCTACTGTGTCCTAGACCAGCCCTTCCACTGTATGGGTCTCTGAAGAGATGCTTACCGCAGCTAAACGTCTCCAACTGAGGCTTTTGGTTGTCTCCTTCCTCATTCAGGATCACTGTCTTATTTCACTTGACAGCCGTCAGAGTTTGGATTTTTAATCTGGTGCCTTACTTTATTGACATTAGCATATTCATATACACAAACCTTAATATGCTAGTACATGATTTGTTTTTTTTTCCTAAAAGTTAGTGTTATGCATTTTACTAGTTTTTTTTGTACTTTTTATTAA